AGCCCAGTAAGCAGTGGAAGTGTTGATAACACTGCTAGACAATATTGACCTCCCATGGTCAATATGGGAAAATTCTCTGGTTCAGAACTGGTCAGGTGTCAAGGGTGCCAGACTAGAGAGGTTCAACCAGTACATACATTTAGCCCTGTTACTGATGCAGGGCTAAACCTGTCCCATATTTTAGTCTAGTATAATTTTGAGAAGTGAATTTAGGGGAGAAAGGAGGAAATATTCCTTTGACTGCATTTTTTTAAATGGCTGCAGTTTGAAGCTGCTCATAAGCTTGGAATGCTAGAAGTCTCAGAAGAGATGGATTGGTGAGCAAAGGCAGGTGTAAAGGTCAAAGGTTTGTGATAAATACAATTTATCACATTCTGTTGCATAGATATCCCTACATGCATTGTGTTTGTGTGTATATTTGTGTATGGGTATACTACTGTGTGTGTGTATGTGTGTGTGTACACATATCTGTGTATATACATATCACTTTGGGATCCTTTTAGGTGAAAGTTGCTTATATAAGTGTAAGTCACTGTTTTCATTACTGGTTTTACAGCAGTAATCCTCCATTATTTCCTGGCTATTCAGACCTTATGACACGGTTTGTATTGTGTTGTCATATGCATGAGAAGGCTGTTTATGAGATGTTGGGGACCAATGAGAATGGACCCCATCTCCAGCAGAGCATTCTTTTTCTAATTAAATTGTCACTGGAAGGAACATCCGGAGCAGCAATTTTCATTTTGGATTGGAGGCAAAACATTATGAGTCTTTGTCATTTGATTAAAAAGTTACTTAACCTTTTAAATTGCTACAGATGTAAAGATGGCTCTGAGTTTCCAATGTAATCGCCTCAAAGTTAAAATCAGGAAAATCTTTGTGTAATGAAACCCATATGTCATAGTGAAAGGATGCAAAGTGCTGGCAGAGTGGGCTGCTCTAGCAGGAGATTCTGTACCCAATCTTGTTAGCCGGGGCTGCTTTTGGTAATCCCTCATCTCCTCACTTGTAAGAAATCAATCTGTACCACTGAATCTTTTCAGCCAGCAGCCACAAAATTTACTGCAGGAGGCAGTTTGGGGACAGTTGTAGTAGAACAGGAGCACAAGGCAACAAGGCTAAATGCAGGATTGAGGGATTGAAGTTCTAAAGAGGAGATTATATTAAACCTAACTCCACCCTCCAAGCAAGTGGAAATCACAGTTTCCCTTTTCCTCCCTGACCTCTCCAGTCCAATACATGCCCTGAGGGCCACCTATTGCCAGGCAGAAAATTTAATTCCTGGGTCAGGGGTCCCCATATTACCGTGGTTTGGTCCCATTTCTTTCTGCAGTTTGAGGAAATGGGAGGTCTGTTTAAGCACTTTTATTGTAACCCAGGTTGATAACAAAAACACCTTTGAAGATATTGTTTTCAACACTCACCTTCCTTCCCCACCTAACTGAGGAGATTAATTTGTAACCAGACTATTGCGATCGTATCCATTGTTGATTTTCTATTGTAGTGATGGATGCACAGTATAGGAAGGGTTGTAAATTCTGACTTGACATAGAGATTCATGTTTTTATTTTATGCCACACGGATTCTGTGGTGTCTCTTTACTGGTAAATGAAACCTGTGCTAAGACCCCCCCACCTCTGCAAGTCAAGTGCCTGGTTTAAACAACCATTTCAAAATAACCCAAAGGCTTCCACTACAGTTTTTGTCCAGCCTTATAATTAAAAGATCCACCTCTGTCTACTAAGCAACTTGCTTCTGCTGTTCCCTTGGGCAGTTGCTTAAAATAGGTTTATTGTCCTTCTCTTTGACTGCAATCACTTTTAGTACATAGAGGTGATTTATTCATTCTCCAGCTTGTACGGCAACAGTACAGCAACCCAAACAACTCCAAGATGCCTACCTGGAAGTGATATTCCCACTATAAAGAATTCATTTAACAGGAGCAGTGCTGAGTAGAAGGAGCACTTTTTTTTAAATAATAGGGACTTTTTTATGAACACCCATGTTCAGGAAAGGCTCCAAAGTGGATTTAAGAGGGACAGAAGAACAACTAGTCAAGACATTTGAACTTGGCACTCTGCAATCTGGATCTTTCCTGTGTTTACCAGAAATACACTCATCTGTGACTCTTGGGAAAATGAGACAAGCCAGAGCAGGGAAAATAAGATTGTAAATATTTGTGGAAACTTGCCCTTTCAGTTTGGCGGAGATTCGTTTGCATTATGAGGACATATTTATGGCAATCTCAATACATATATGAACATGAGGGGTCCTTCTCTTATCATACCTTAAAAACAGAGCCCTGTTGCAGCCCATGTGTGGAGAAGAGGAATACAGAATAGCAGAAGGCTGCCTCCTGCTCCTAATGGGATTTTGTAGCAGCATGTGCGAGTTTGTTTCAGAAGTCAGAAATGAACAGATGTTGGTATAAATTACCTCTGTGTCTGATGTCTTGCAAATTAAAAGCGCGGTTGGCATCACTAAACAATTTCACCAGGTTTTGGGGGGGGGGAAGAGGGGGCGGAGCTGCAGCAGAGCAGGATAGCAAGGATAAAGGAATGAAGAATAAAATGAGAGGTCTGTGAATTAATCAGAAATGTTAACATCTCCGATGACAAGTGAACAGGAGGGCACGTGCTCTGGAGCAACCCCCAACCTACAGTAATTTCTCTCAGAGCACAGAAGGAGTCTATGCTCACTGCTTGATTTATAGGGTGCAACCCTCTTTGGGGGGAATGGAATTGTCATACATGAGTATATCTCTTATATGGGACTGGCATTTAGGAAATCTTGCAACTCTATCAGCTGAGAATGCTGTAGTTTGGTTTTGTGCTTTCTCCACAATAGCATTTTACAACCCTGTTGGATGGTGTGAAGTATGGTAGTGTCAGGGAGCTGCTTATGTTGAGTCTGTTTCAAATGGAAACTGCTAGAAAACTCACATTTTTATTAATCACAAAACAGCTCAAAACAAAAATCACCTTCTGCCCTTCACCAGCTCCTTCCATACATGAGTCTCAGAGCACTATATCAGTATTAACATCTTGGGAGACAGATATATTTTTTTATGATGTCCATTTTGCAGATGGGGGAACTTGAGGTGGGGAAAAAAGTCAATGGTTCCTAGACTTTTAAAATTAATCAAGGACAGGGCTGGGAATAGATCCCAGATCTCTTGAATCCCTGTCAGGCTCTTCAAACAGGGAATTGTTCTTCTCTACAAAGGGAGGGCCCTGCTTATTCTGTGACTCCTCAGCCATGGAATTGGGCTCCAGAATCCACGTTTTAAAGTTTGAAAATAAATTTCTAGCCATCATGATTGAAAACATTAACCCAAGTGTAACTGATGAAGTAATGTCTGCCTGAGTCTGCAAGCATCCTGAAACAAAAGCTGTGATAAAGTGAGATGGGGATAGGTTTCTGGGGTGTTGATTCTGAAACCTAATTATGCCAGTTTAACTGTCAACATTAATTATTTCACTGACTCTTTTAGCAACATCCAGCTATTGGATGTAGCTTCTTCAGGTAGGGAAATCAAGGTTGGATAATTTGGGGAAATTGAGGATGGCCTCTGAGGATTTTTGTTTGTTTTTAAGTGCTAGGACATGAATTCTAATCATCCAGATGAGTGAGTAGTGACCAAATGTCATTACCTGATGTTAGGTGTTTAGTAGCTTTTGTGAAATGAATCAGGTTTTAGTTTAGTTCCTTCTGGGCAAGTGGTAATGTCACAATATCCATCCCCAACTCATGTGTTAAATTTTCACATTTAACACAGTGTCACATTTGCTATTCTTCTATGAGTGGATCATTTAGACTAGAGAGTTAAAATTCCATCTCTTCCATTTAGATAGGGTTACCAGGTGTCTGGTTTTGAACCGGACAGTCCAGTATTTGAGCTTTATGTTTGGGAAACAAATTGAGAAAATATAAATATCTGGTATTTTCTAAATAAGAGGTAATGTAGATTGTGATGTAATGTCAAGTGTGTCCAGTTTTTTGTTGAAACCATCTGGCAACCCTACGCTTTAGGGCTCTCTCTAGGTTTGATGAAGGAGACTTGCATTGCTCCTGTACTAGTTCTGTGAATAAAGGACTCCATGTCCCTGGGCTGTTGGGAATCTTTTACCAGCACAAAGCTTACTTCGGGCTTTTATTTAAAAGAGCTGAAAAGGAGAGGAACCCCTCTCTCCAGGGCTCAATCCTAATCAAGCTGTGTATATTCAGTATTGTAATGTTGGGACAAAGATTGTATTAGGGTGGCTCTGCCAGCGCCTATGGGCTCACAAGTCAGAAATGTTTTGTGCAGGAAAGTGGCTGTATAAACTCCATTGTAATGCAGCAACCAGAGATTGATGGTGCCAAGAATATGAGAGAGGGAGATAAACCTTGCCTTGCTGTATTAAATATCTAGGAACTGACAATGCAAAGTGAGAAGACCAAAGCTCTATAAACTCTACTTTATTACACTATCCATAGATGAACTGCATTGAGGGAATATAAACCCCATTATATTGCAGCATTCAGAGACTGACCTGTGTAATTTCTGTTTAAGATCATAAGCATCCAGGGACCAGTAATCCTGAAATGGAGAGAGACAGCACTCCATAATCTCTGATGGATTTTAGCATCCAGGAACAATTGCCCTGAGAGAGTGATGGAGCTCTGGATTACACCATTCAGAGATTGATAGTGCAAAGACACAGGCAGATCTTCATGACCAGGAGGCTATCCACAATAGGAATAGAAAGTGCTGATTGTATGTAATGACAGGCCATGGGAATTATTGCTGAGCTTTGAGGTTTCCAATGTGTGGCCTACATTTCCAGAGTGTCAGGAATTCAAGATGCAGTGCAGATTTCCTTTCATTTAAAAATATTTTTAGCTATGCGTTAGCACCAGAGCGAGGTCTAAATACATTTCTGTCCTCCGATTAAATATTAAAAATGATCTGGCTCTATTTGTCTTACATTAATCTTTTTCCCCCCTTTTGATTTCAGCGAGAGAAATGACTCGTGGGAAGTTCCTGAACATCCTGGAGAAACCCAAGAAGTAGCTGCTGCTACTGGAACTCAGGCAAAAGTATCACTGTCTGGGTTATCTCATCTGTCACTGCAGATCCAGCAGAACACTAACTTCTTCAAGAAGAGGCTAAAGCTTTCTTCTAGAATGACAGAAGCAAACCTCTCTACTGCTTCCACAGCTCTTCTCCTTACAGAGGAGCAGCATTCCAGACACTTTTCATGACGACTGCCAGTAATTCCATCAGCACAGAGACCTTATCCAAGGTTTTCAGCACAAGATTGCCAGGAAAACTCAACCCTCGTATGCTGTAGCAAAGTTTCACAGCAGTCTTTCTATAAACCATTCACAGTGATACATCCTGAGTGGCCTCTCATCCCCAGTGGCTTCATTCAGTTGCTGTCAGTGACTTTGTGACACTGGCCAGTACCTCTGGGTGATGCATTGGCTCTTCCATGTGTGTCTCTTGCCTTAGGAACAGTGATTTATTTCTGTGCTGGAAGCAACACTGCAGTGCTGACTGTAAGCAGGGTTCTGGATGAAGACTGACAGTTCCAGGGTTTGTTAGTTCTGGATCAGTACAATCATACCCTACTTACAAGACAGGTGGAACTTGTTATGTGTCCTAGATTGACATTACTCACACCCTTCAGAGGTGGATGTCCTGCAATCAAGGGAAGTTCTTCAATCCTGTCTCTGCCTTTGTTCTGTTCTGCATGTCACAAATACTTGCACCAGGTGCTATGTGGACAGGGGGCTCCATCTCAGTGCTAAACATTTGTGTGTTCTCTTGTTCAACCTAGACTGATGGCCCATAGGGAGTGAATAAGAGAAGGTGTCTATTACAGTATCATGAAAGAAAATGTTTCTGTGGAAACTTCTGCCAGGACACAAACAGGTCTGTCAGCTCCCTTTGCAAATCCAGATCAGTGAGAGTGCTCCTGAGGTACTGGAGGAAGTTATAAGATTGAAGGGCAATAATGTTTTAAATTAGAGCACTTCCAGGTGGAGCGACTGTCTTGTTCACACCCCTGTGGGGATAACCTTCATATAAACAGCATCTACTACTTATGCTTGAGTTCTGATATTTGCCCACATTATTAGAAAACAGCAGCTTCCAGAACTTGCTTTAACTGCAAATGTGGAATGTGTGCCCCATTAAGGGGCGAATTGTACTGTTAGCTAGTTTCCTCGTGTACAGATTGGGCTTCATTCATCTGGTACTGAACTACTCTTTAGCGCCTTGTGGCCCAACTGGTACCAGAGTACTTGTTAGTGCCTTTCCTCTTTCAACATGCTGCTGTGTATCAGTCTTGTGTTTTTCTGATTTGTCTATTTCTCTGCAAGGTTGGCATAGCTCTTATGTCACTCTGTTTTCTTCTGCCCCGTAAAACTACGTATTCTAGAATAAAAATTGGTTGTTCCTCATGGCTAAAATAAAGTATTAAAATGTTAGTCCAAGAGTAGTTTTCTCTCTTTGTTCAAACAGTTACATACACAGTCTGCAGTTGGCTGTGAGGTGTGAATTGAACCAGTGCTGTGGTTATACAACATCTTATTAATGCATTGTCCTTGAAGCATTGCATTCTTCTGTCTTTGGGCAGATTCTGTTTTTAGGCTGTGTTCACATTAGTGAGGAGCAGATTCCTGCTCAGGGCAGATTTCTGAGATTTTTACTAAAATGTTTAAAGCCTTTCTATCTTCAGTCTGTGCGTTCCTCCAGTTAGTTAACAAGAATTAAGCTAAATTGGGAAAGATCCTCTTCACTAAACTTGCACAATTAAGACCTTGACCTGCAAAGACTTACTCAAGTTCTTAACTTTGAGCATGTGAACAGTTTGAATTCAATGGGGCTGTATCTGTATGCTTGTCTTTGGAGTGATAAGGCTTAACAGAGCAGCTCCAGTTCTTCAAAGGAGGGGCAACAGAACAATAGTAGATGCAAGGAAACAGTGGAGAGCCAGAGAGGGAAAGGACTTGCTTAGTTGATGGTCAAAATGGGCATAGATGTAGCTTTGAAAGTGTTAATTTAAATTATATGTTTGTTGGGAAATTAACATTTGTATGTCTAGTTTAGTTTAGATGTATTCTATATATATAAAATGTGTGGTCCCAAAATGACTTGTGTGAATTTTGGTTCTTTGTTGCATATTCTGGTGGTGTCTATTCCAATATATGAGATGTTTGGAAAGCTGAGAAGTATAGAGGGAAATCCCAGAAGTCTGTCGCAAATCTGCATGCCCGTTTTGTGATCTGGACAGTAAAGACTCTCAAACTTCAAGTAGCTGGCACCATAGCATGCAAAAACCCCTTTCTTTTATTACTACCCTGTTTAGCAGTACTTATCTTCTAACGATGGGGAAACAAGTGAGAGATCCTTTAGATTCGAGATATTTATTCGTTTTGTACTTGTCATGTATAGAGATGAAACAGTGATGTCTTTTTTTTAATTGGTAGTATTTACATGTACTTTTGTGTGTTAGGCAGAAAATTATCTATCTGCTGTTGCTCTATGTTCTTATAATAAACAAGTGCAAAGCTTACAAAATGGTGTGAGTCTTCGTGAAATGGCCCTGTGAAATATGGAAGCTGTGACCAACCAACTAGGAAATGTTCCTTACCAACAGGTTTTCCACCATTTAAAGTTTAATAGCAAGACACTTTTGTACATCCCACTATATTAGTTCGTGACCAGTAGGTGTTACCACCACATTGGTAAATAAGTGGCAACAGCCAAAAAGAACTAAGATTTTTAGGAGCCTTCACAAACTCCATTTCTTTCTGCCGTGATGTTCTTCCAGATTATGGAACCATTACAGAGACGCAACAAATGTTTACAATTGCGTGTGTGATTTTTTTTTTTTATTTTATAATTAAAAGAATCAAAATCAGTGAAGGAAGAAAAAAGGTAGAATTACGGGAGAGATGTAGAAAATCAAAATTCGATGGCATTTCAATGTTATCCTAGGGTTGTCATTACTTGATAGAGCATTGTCATGTGTCTTACCTTCCCCATTCAGATGTTAGTTTTATTTCTCTGGATTTTAGACTAACAAGCATTTGCATATTTATTGTGCCTCTTGGTTGGAGTCCCTGTGCTCAGAAGAAACATGCCTCGAAGAGCACAGTGCCAGCAAACAGCATCAGTAGGGGGAGTGGCGGGGCTGTGGATAGGGTGACTGTGGAAAACAGGCTCTGGTGTGCCGCAATTGTCATGGGGCAAGGTGGGGCACATGTCTCCAAAGGTCTTCACCCAGCCTCCAGTGACACTTGGTCGAGGCGTCCTGTCCTGTCATGCCCCTTGTGGACCATATGGGGTTGTGGATGGCCCTTTTAGCCACATGGACTGGAGCACTCTGAGATCATGGCAGAGTCTCAATGCGTGGATGAGACGATGGGGTAGGGAAGAGGGGTTTAGATTTATTAGGAACTGGGGACACTTTTGGGAGAGGGGGAGCCTATACAGGAAGGATGGGCTCCACCTAAACCAGGGTGGAACCAGACTGCTGGCACTAAACATTAAAAAGGCCGTAGAGCAGTTTTTAAACTAAGAGATGGGGGAAAGCTGATTGGTGCGGAGATGCACATAAATCGGAGGGAGACTTCTCTTAGAGGAGAATCCATTGATAGAGATTCTCTAAGCTGTAGTCAGAAAGAGGAGGGGAGAGGGCGAACCATGGGCCAGGGCAGACAAACAACCGCATACAAAGGAATCCAATGCATCAGGGAAGGGCAGACAAATAAGCAGTGGCAAATTTTTAAAGTGCTCGTACACAAATGCTAGGAGTCTAACTAGGATATGATAGAGGTATATAAAATCATGAGTGGTGTGGAGAGGGCCGATAAAGAAATGTTATTTATTAGTTCCCTAAATAGAAGAACTAGAGGACACCAAATGAAATTCATGGGGAGCAGGTTTAAAACTAATAAAAGAAAGTTCTTCTTCACACAGCTTGTAGTCATCATACCGGGATATAAAATATATAGAAAGGATAGAGCAGGCCGGGTGGGTGCCGGAGTGGCACTGTATGTGAAAGATAATGTAGAATCAAATGAAATAAAAATATTAACTGAATCAACATGTTCAATAGAATCGCTATGGATAGTAATTCCATGCTCCAATAATAAGAAATTAGCAGTAGGGAAATATTACTGACCACCTGACCAGGACAGCGATACTGACATTGAAATGCTGAGGGAGATTAGAGAGGCTACCAAAATAAAGAACTCTATAATAATGGGGGGTTTTAATTACCCCCATATTGACTGGATACATGTCACCTCAGGAAGAGAAGCGGAGATAAAATTTCTCAATGGCTTAAATGACTGCTTCTTGGAGCAGCTAGTGCAGGAACCCACAAGGGGAGAGGCAATTCTCGATTTAGTCCTGAGTGGAGTGCAGGATCAGGTCCAGGATATAACCGTTACAGGACCGCTTGGGAATAGTGACCATAATATAATAACATTCAACATTCCTGTGGTGGGAAGAACACCTCAGCAGTCCAGCACCCTGGCATTTAATTTCAAAAAGGGGAATTACACAAAAATGAGGAGGTTAGTTAAACAGAAATTAAAAGGCACAGTGACTAGAGCCAAATCCCTGAAAGCTGCATGGAAACTTTTTAAAGACACCATAATAGAGGCCCAACTTAAATGTATACCCCAAATTAAAAAACATAGCAAGAGACCTAAAAAAGAGTCACCGTGGCTTAACCACCATGTAAAAGAAGCAGTGAGGGACAAAAAGGTATCTTTTAAGAAGTGGAAGTCCAATCCTAGTGAGATAAATAGAAAGGAACATAAACACTGTCAAATCAAGTGTAAACATGTAATAAGAAAAGCAAAAAAAGATTTTGAGGAACAGCTAGCCAAAAACTCAAAAAGAAATAACAAAATGTTTAAGTACATTAGAAGCAGGAAGCCTGCTAAAAAACCTGTGGGTCTCCTAGATGATCGAGCTATAAAAGGAGCAATCAAGGACGATAAAGGCATTGCGGAGAAACTAAATGATTTCTTTGCTTCAGTTTTCACGGCTGAGGATGTTGGGGAGATTCCTGAATCTGCACCGTCCTTTGTGGGTGATGAATCTGAGGAACTGTCCCGGATTGAAGTGTCATTAGAGGAGGTTTTGGAACAAATAGAAAAACTTAATGTTAACAAATCTCTGGGACCGGATGGCATTCATCCAAGGGTTCTAAAAGAACTTAAATGGGAAATTGCTGAGCTATTATCTGTGGTTTGTAACCTATCCTTTAAATCAGCTTCTGTACCTAATGACTGGAAGGTAGCCAACGTGACACCAATATTTAAAAGGGGCTCTAGAGGCGATCCTGGCAATTACAGACCGGTAAGTCTAACTTCAGTACCGGGCAAATTAGTCGAAACAATAGTAAAGAATAAAATTGTGAAGCATGTAGAAGAACATAATTTGTTGGACAAAAGTCAACATGGTTTCTGTAAAGGGAAATCCTGTCTTACTAATCTATTAGAGTTCTTTGAAGGGGTTAACAAACATGCGGACAAGGGGGATCCAGTAGATATAGTATACTTGGATTTTCAGAAAGCCTTTGACAAGGTCCCTCACCAAAGGCTCTTGTGTAAATTACATGGCCATGGGATAAGAGGGAAGGTCCTTTCTTGGATTGAGAACTGGTTAAAAGACAGGAAACAAAGGGTAGGAATAAATGGTAAATTTTCAGATTGGAGAGGGGTAACTAGTGGTGTACCCCAAGGGTCAGTCCTGGGACCAATCCTTTTCAACTTATTCATAAATGATCTGGAGAAAGGGGTAAGCAGTGAGGTAGTAAAGTTTGCAGATGATACCAAACTGTTTAGGATAGTCAAGACAGAAGCAGACTGTGAGGGACTCCAAGAAGATCTCACCAAACTGAGTGATTGGGCAACAAAATGGCAAATGAAATTTAATGTGGATAAGTGTAAAGTAATGCACATCGGGAAAAATAACCCCAACTATACGTGCAGTATGATGGGGGCTAATTTGGCTACGACAAATCAGGAAAGAGATCTTGGAGTTATCGTGGACAGTTCTCTGAAAACTTCCACACAGTGTGCAGCGGCGTTCAAAAAGGCAAATAGGATGCTAGGAATTATTAGGAAAGGGATAGAAAATAAGACCCAGAATATCTTACTGCCCCTGTATAAAACTAAGGTACGCTCACATCTTGAATACTGTGTACAGATGTGGTCTCCTCACCTCAAAAAAGGTATATTGGCCTTGGAAGGGGTTCAGAAAAGGACAACTAAAATGATTAGGGGTTTGGAACTTGTCCCATATGAGGAGAGGTTAAAGCGACTGGGACTTTTCAGTTTAGAAAAGAGGAGACTGAGGGGGGATATGATAGAGGTCTATAAAATCATGAGTGGTGTGGAGAGGGCTGATAAAGAAAAGTTATTTATTAGTTCCCATAATAGAAGAACTAGAGGACACCAAATGAAATTAATGGGTAGCAGGTTTAAAACTAATAAAAGAAAGTTCTTCTTCACACAGCGTGTAGTCAACCTGTGGAACTCCTTGCCAGAGGAGGCTGTGAAGGCTAGGACTACAATAGAGTTTAAAGAGAAGCTAGATAATTTCATGGAGGTTAGGTCCATAAAAGGCTATTAGCCAGGGGATAAAATGGTGTCCTTGGTCTCGTGGGGCACCTGGTGCTGGCCACTGTCAGTAGACAGGATACTGGGCTAGATGGACCTTTGGTCTGACCCAGTACAGCCATTCTTATGTTCTTACGTTATGTTCTTATGGCAGGCCAAATGAGGCGTTTTCCTTGTGGCGGGACCCAGGAACCACTGGGGTTGTGGCAACATAATCAAAATGATGTCCTCTGACCATCAGAGGAGTAAAGTTCTAGAACAGCCTTCCAATTGGAGTAATGAGGGAGGGGGATAAACTATTTTGTTTTAAGAACGGGTTTGATTGCCTACAATGGCATATGTCCCATCCATGACTGCTATTAACAAATATCTCCCAATGGCTAGAAATGGAACACTAGATGGGGAGGGCTATGAGTTGTTACAGAGAATTTTTTCCAAGGTGAGTCTTGCCTACATGTTTAGGTCTAACTGATTGCCATGTTGTAAGTTGGGAAAGAATTTTCCTCCAAGTCAGATTGGTAGAGACCGTGGCAGGGGGAGGGATGGGTGTCCTCTTTCTCTGCAGTGTGCTGGTTTGACCTAGAGTAAATGGTGGATTCTCTGTATTTTTGAAGTCTTTAAACCATGATCTGAGGACTTCAGTAACTCAGCCAGAACTTATAGGTCTATTACAGAAGAAAGGTGGATTAACTTCTGTGAAAAGCAACGTGGGCCTCAGGGATGTGTTGGCTGCTGCTTTCTGCAGCTCCCATGGGCCAGGAATGGCAAACCACTGCCACTGGGAGCTGCAAGGGACCATGCCTGTGCACAGTCAAACAATGTCTCGCTATCCACCAGCACATTATCCTGATGGGCTCCATGCTGAAGGTTGCTGAACCCTGGACTAGACAATCATGATTGTCCATTCTGGCCTGAAAGTATGCAAGTCCCTGCTCCAA